ACACACACACACACACACACACACACACACACAAATAATAAAGAAAGAAGAGAGAAGACCCAAATAACAAAAATCAGCAGTCAAAAAAAAAGAGACATTAGGGGCCGGCCCGGTGGCGCACTGGATAGTGCGCCGCTTGGGAAGCGTGGCGGCGCTCCCGCCCGAGGGTTCGGATCCCACATACAGACCGGTTCCCGCTCACTGGCTGAGCGAGGCGCGGGGGCAACACCGGGGGTTGCGATCCCGTTGCCGGTCCCCGGTCCGGTACAGGGGCAACACTGAGGGTTGCGATCCGTTGCCGGACACAGACAAAAAGACAAAAAAAAAAAAAGCCAGAAGAAAAAAAAAAAGAGACATTGGGGGCCGGCCGGGTGGCGCACTGGATAGTGCGCGGCTTGGGAAGCGTGGCGGCGCTCCCGTCCGAGGGTTCGGATCCCACATACGGACCGGCTCCTGCGCACTGGCTGAGCGAGGCGCGGGAGCAGCGCCGAGGCTTGCGATCCCGTTGCCGGTCCCCGGTCCGGTACAGGGGCAACACTGAGGGTTGCGATCCGTTGCCGGACACGGAAAAAAAAAAAACTTTTTCCACAAAAATAAAAATGATCATTATAGACTATTATAAACAATTGTACACCAACAAATTTAAAAACCTGGAGTAAATAGATAAATTTCTGGACACATACAAAACTACCAAGACTAAACCAAGAAGCCATAGAAAACATGAACACATCAAAACAGGCAATGAGATTGAAGCAGTAGTCAGCAGTTTCTTAACAAAGAAAAGCCCAGGACTGGATGGCTTTTCTGCTGAATTCTACCAAACCTTTAAAGAGGAATTAATACAATTCTCTTCAAACTATTCCAAAAAACTGATACACAGGCCATTCTGCCAAGCTTATTCTATAAGGCCAGTATCACTTTGATACCAAAACCAAAGATACAACAAAAACAGAAAACTACAGACCAATATGTCTGACGAACATAGACACAAAAATTCTCAACAAAATATTTTCAATCAGAATACAGCAAAACATAAAAAAATATACACCATAATCAAGTGGGATTCATACCAGGGATGCAGGGATGGTTCAACATATGCAAACAATAAATGTGATACACCACATCAACAAAATCAAGGACAAAAACTTTATAATTCTCTCAATAGACACAGAAAGAACACTTGGCAAAATTCAACATCCTTCACTATAAAGACCCTCAGCAAATTAGGTATAGAAGGAAAGTATCTCTAAACAATAAAAGCCTTATACAACAAACCACCATCTATGACAAGCCCACCGCCAATATCATCCTGAATGGGATGTTCTGTAAGAACAGGAACAAGTCTTCCCACTCTCACCATTCCTATTTAACAGTATTGGAAGTACTAGCCAGGGTAATCAGCCAAGAGAAAGGAATAAAAGGTGTCCAGATTGGAAAAGACAAAGTAAACTGTCTCTGTCTGCAGATAAAGATGATCCTTTATATAGAAGACCTAAATGCTCTACCAAAAACCTCTTAAAGCTGATAAACAATTTCAGTAAAGTTGCAGGATACAAAATCAACATATGAAAATCAGTAGCATTTTTATACTTCTATAACAAAATACCAGAAAAAGAAATCAAGAAAACAAGACCATTTATAGTAGTCACCCAAAAAACAATATCTAGAAATAACTTTAAACAAGGAGGTGAAAGATCTCTACAACAAGCATGACAAATCACTGCTGAGAGAAATTAAAGAGGACATAAAAAGTTGGAAAGACATTCCATGCTCTTGGATTAGAAGAATAAACATTGTGAAAATGTTTATGCTACCCAAAGTGATATGCAGATTCAATGCAATCCCTATGAAAATACCAATGTCATTCTTCACAGAAATGGAAAAAACAATCTTAACATTCATATGGAATAACAAAAGACCCTGAATAGCCAAAGCAATCCTGGGCAAAAAAAGTAAAGCTGGAGGCATAACCCTACCTGACTTCAAATTATACTGCAAAGCTATAGTAACCAAAACAGCATGGTAGTGGTATAAAAATAGGCACTTGGACCAAAGAAACAGTAGAGAACCCAGAAATCAACCACAGACCTACAGTCAACTAATCTTTGACAAGGGCAACAAGAACACTGGGGGGAAACCTGCCTCTTCATCAAATGGTTCTGGGAAAACTGGACATCCATATGTAGAAGAATAAAACTAGATCTGTACCTCTCACCATATACCAAACTCAACTCAAACAGATTAAATCATTAAATTTAAGACCCGAAACTATAAAACTCCTAATAGAAAACATAGAGGAAACACTTCAGGAAGTGGGACTGAGCAAAGACTTTATGAATATGACTCCAAAAGCACAGGTGACAAAAGAATAAATAAACAAATGAGATTATGTCAAACCAAAAAGCTTCTTCACAGCAGAAGAAGCAATTAACAGAGCAAAAAGCCATCTTCAGAATGGGAGAAAATATTTGCAAACTATGCAATAAGGGATTAATATCCAGCACATACAATGAAGTAAAAAAAAAAAAAAAAAAAAAAAGAAACCTGATTGAAAAATGGGCAAAGGAGCAAAATAGTCACTCCTTAAAGAAAGATGTACAAATGGCAATAGACACATGAAAAAGTGCTCAACCTCAGTAAGCATCAGAGAAATGCAAATCGAAACCACATTGAGAAATCATCTCATACAAGTTAGACTGGCCATTATAAAAAAGTCAGAGAATAACAAATGCTGACAAGGATGTGGAGAAAGGGAACCCTCCTCTACTGTTGGTGAGACTGTAAACAAGTGCAGCCATTATGGAAATCAATATGTAGGTTGATTTCAATCAAAGCACTACAGATAGAGCTGCCATATGATACAGCAATTCCACTGCTGGGCGTATACACAAAGGAATGAAAAGCATCGTGTCAAAGGGATATCTGCACTCCCATATTTATCAAGGCTCTATTTATAATAGCTAAGAGTTGGAACCAACCTAAATGTCCATCAGTGGATAACTGGATAAGGAAAATGTGGTATATATACACACTATGAAATTTTACTTTTCCATAAAAAAGAATGAAATTTTGTCATTCACAGCAACACAGATGAACTTACAAAAAATTATGTGATGTGAAATAAGCCAGACACAGAAAGAAAAATACCACAAGTCCTCACTCACAAGTGAGAGCTACAGAAATGAACAAATAAATTTTTAAAAAGAAAGATTAGAAAAAAAAAAACTAGCCAGTAGAAAATAGGCAAAGGACATAAACATAAAAATGTCTTAAAAGTATGGGAAAAGATACTCATTCACAATCTTAAAAATGCTAATTAAGATCCCAATGAGAAAACATTTTAATCCAACCAAATTTGTACACATCATATAGTTTAATAGTACATAAGATTAGGGAAGTTGAGGGGAAACAGGAATTCTCATAGACTGTCGACATGAATGGGTAAAACTCTTTTGATGGAAATTTGGCAGTATCTATCAATATTTAAAGTGCTCATATCCTTTAGGCAGTAATTCCAGTTCTAGGAATTTTCAAAAGATATATTCATACAGATACTCAAAGAAATATGTACACGATGTTTCCTAAAGTATTACTTATAATAGCAAAAAAATCCTGATAACATCTCAAAATCCATTAGTAAAAGATCGGCTAAATAATTTATTCATACAATAGGATATTGTATGGTTATAAATATGAATAAGATAGGTCTATGTGTTAATGTATCTACAAGATCAAATCAGAGCCATATGAAAATATTTGGTGGAGGGAATTAATGAAAAATAGATTTTTAGGCCATCCATGGTTTATATTTCTAAATAACCACATCCTGGTTTAGGTTTAACTACATAGGCAAATTTTTGCTTGTTTAACCCTCTCACCGAAAAATCCCGGGAAGGGATGTTGAAGTTGAAACAAAAAGAGAACATTGCTTCAGGCCAATGAAGTCCCAAAAAACACCACCAGATCTGGAGCTAACCTATAGGCTTGAGTCATAGTTCAATGTGAACTGTTAAGATAGCCAGCTATACCCCCAGGCTTTACAGATGTGAAATGGAGGTTTAAGAATATTAATGGAACCAGTAATGTTTGGTGCTCATTTCCATAGCACATACAGTGTTGACAAATTTTAAAGGATATATACTTTGAATTAATTTTAATGTTACTTTAAAGGCAGTACCACATACATGACTCATGGAATTATTTGTGTTTTGCTATAAAATGATATCAACACTTTGAAGAAGAGCTGTTTAAATGATCAGAGACTTATTGCTCATAAGTTATTCTGAGCAAAATGACAACTCTTTTGTACACTCACCAGGTTGCTATGGTTTCTTTGTTAAAGAAATTTCTCTTATGAATCACAGTGATAAAGTTGTATATCAAGATCACTAAGAAATCTGTAAATATAGAAATCTATGCTTTGAAGGCACTTACAGAAGTAATTCATTCTAGACTAACCATCTGTCTCCACTTAGGACCACAAATAAACCTTCAAAACCACAGAACAGATCATTCGTTCCTTGAAGAGAGAAACTTTCTCACAGAGTTTATTACACAGTGTTGCACTTAGTAGGTTCTTAATAAATACTAGAATGGTTAATTATTAGAGGTGGCTCCTTTGCTCACTAGATATGTGACTTATAGCAACCCAAGTTTCTCATCTAAAAATAAATTTCCCTTTCATTTTTCTGTACCATTCTGGGCACAAATGAAATCTCATTAGCAAGAATCACTCAAGTTTCACTGGCTCGTTTTCCACACATGCAAACTGCCTAACCTCAGAACCCTGTTCATTTCTCCACAAGTATTTATAGAAATCCTTACAGGATCTCACATAATCAAGTTTGCTTCTTCTGGGTCCTGCTTTGCTCCACGGGCACTGCAGTTCCCCCCTATGCCCTATCTGCTCCCTTGACTGGCAGCCCTGCTCTCCCAGCACCAGTTACCTCAGCAACACTGCTGATCCATCAAGGTCAGGAAGCCCCTGGTGCTTACTCTACCTGCTGCCACTCCACCTTTAGTCCTGGCAGCAACCTTCACTGCTCCCCTAGGTGCCATCTCTAAACAATGCACTCATGATCTCAGTGCATGATGATCTGTAGAGAAGAGGTGCCCCTTCCCTGGGCAGTCCCTTCTGCTAAGTTTCCCAAAATATGGTGCCTTTGTGTGCCAATGACAGGCTTCTTTCTTTCTTTTTATTTATTTATTTTTTTAAAAAGATGACTGGTTAGGAGATCACAACCCTTGGCCTGGTGTTGTCAGCACCACGGTCAGCCAGTGAGCAAAGCGGCCATCCCTATAAAGGATCTGAACCCGTGGCCTTGGTGTTATCAGCACCTCACTCTCCTGAGTGAGCCACGGGCCGGCCTGACAGGCTTCTTTCTTTCTCTCCTTCTTTCCTTCATTTTTTCCATTTCTAATTAAAGACCACCTGCTTTCTATAAGACTAAGGCTTCAGTAGAGGCTATGCTAAAAGTTAATGTCAAGTGATAGATCTTATATTCCATTCATAATTCTTTTTTTCTTCCAACTAACTCTTTATTACTGGTTCAGCTCCTATGATGGTTAATTTTATGTGTCAGCTTGACTGGGCTAAGGGATGTCCAGATGACTGGCAAAATATTGTTTCAGGGTGTAGTGGATTGAATTATGTCCCCTCAAAACTCACTGAAGCTTGAATTGTGTCCCCCAAGTTTTATGTATTAGAAACTTAGTGCCCAATGTGACTGTAAAGAGGTAATTGTAAGGTGGGGCCTTGAAGAGGTGATTAGATTATAGGGCCATGCAGTGGCGAATGGATTAAAAATGGTGGTCAGGGATGTGGTTCTGAGGACTTTAAAAGAAGAGGAAGTAGAGTCTGCCTCTCTCTGCTCTCTCTGCTTCCGCCATCTTGCAATGTGAGATCCCAGGGTCACTGTCGCCACCACAGGATGGACTTTGGACTTCCCAGCCTCAGAAACTGTAAGCAATAAATATCGTTTTTCTTTATAAATCATCCAGTTTCAAGTATTTTGTTATAAGTAACAAAAATGGACTAATACAGGGTGTATCTGTGAGGGTGTTTCTGGAAGAGACTAACATTTGAATCAATAGACAGAGTAAAGAAGATCATCCTCACTAATGTGAGTAGGCATCAACCAATACATTAATGGCCCAATAGAACAAAAAGACAAAGGAAGGGTGAATTTGCTCTGTGTTTGAGCTGAGACAGCCATCTGCTCCTGCCCCGGACATCAACACTCCTTGTTCTTGGGCCTTTGGACTTAGACTGGAACTTATGCCATTGAATCCTCTGCTTCTCAGGCCTTTGGTTTTGGACTAAAATTATACCCTTGGCTTTCCTGGGTCTCCAGCTTGCAGATGGCAGATCCTGGGACATACTGTATGAGTCGGTCTCTCATAATAAATCTCTTTCTATATAGCTACTCATCTATATATATATATATATATACCCTTGGTTCTGTTTTCTGGAGAACCTTGATTAATACACTTCTCCTTTCCTTAGGAAATTATTTCTCCTAGAACACACTTTACCATGCATGAAAACAGTATTATGTTGGCCCATACAACTAGTTTGCCACATATGCCAGATATAATCGTACACAGCCTATGATCAAAGTAAAATCCCTATTAAACACAGAATACATATAAAGATACTTAAATTATAATATTTTTGTAATACTTTACAACCTTAGTATGGTTGTTGGAATTTTAAAATAATTACTAACACATTGAAAGCTGTCAATATATCTTAGCTAGTAATACTAATAGTAGTAGTAAATGGTACTTTCTATTATATTAGTATGATTTATGTAAGATTACTGTTACTTAGGGGCTTACTTACGTTCAGCCTAAATATTTTTCAATAATTTTTAATGTAGTTCTATTTTTTAATATTTAGTTTTTACTGCATCTCTTTCTATCAATAACTTACATAATAATTGGGGGAAATAAGCAAATTATGTTTATCTATGCTTAAGTTAAGGATTTTTAAGCGAGTTACTTTCTGATTTAAAATTTTAATTAAAATTTTAACTATAAATTCTTAACTATGAATAAGTTAAAAGAATGTTGTTTCCTTTGAAAAATGAAAAGCTAGCATGGAGATTTAATTAATCAATAAATTTTTACTGAGTGCTGTTTGCCCAGAACTGAACTTAGTGCTATCAGAGAAACAATAGAATTAAAACACTTGAGGCCAATCCTTCTAAAAAAATATAGAGTAGTTAAGATTAAATTTGAAAATATAAAAAAAATAATAATAATAACTAAGAGCTAAACCAACGGTAATTGAAAATCTACGAAACTATATCAGGAAAGAGATATGGTAAGAAAGACTGAATTAATCAGACTCAACTTGATGGAGAAAGAAGGAATAGCAAAGAAGTCAATGGGGGAATTCAACCAGGCAGAAGATGGCAGCATGGGATGGTGGAAAGTGTTTTGGATGAAGATTCAGAAGATCTATATTCTTGTTCTGATCCTAACTTTTTCCATTGAGTGAGACTTTTGGAAAATCACTAATCTTTCTTTCTCAAATATTTCAATTATGAAAACGAGTTACTTCAATTTGAAATGAGGAATTACACAGAATAATCTTTAAGATTTTTCACAGACTTAGAAATTTTATAATTATGATTTTAGAGGGTTGAAATTTTAGAGTTTATTTCTGACAATAATGAAAACTAAAATCAATAATAGAAAACAGAAATTCCTATGTTTGATAGTTGAGCAACACACTTCTAATCCATGGATCAAAATAAAAATCACAATGGAAATTAGAAAACATGTGGCATGCTGCAAAAGCAATACTGGCAAGGAAGCTTATAATACTAAGTTTTATATTAGATTGAGGAAAAGTCTCAAAGAAACAATAACAGTTTCTACCTCAATAAAGTAGAAAAAGAAAAGCAAAATAAACCTGATGTAAGCAGAAGGAAGGATATAATAACGTAAGAGAAATAATTTAAATTGAAAAGAGGACAATAGAGAAAAATCAATGAAACAAAATGCTACTTCTTTGAAAAAACTCAGTAACATTGATAAGCCTCTAGGAAGACTGATAAAAATAGAGAGAAGACACAAATCAAGACGGAATCCAGAGATATTACCAGTAATCTTTTAGCCATTAAAAGGATAAGGAAATACTACAAATGACTTTTATATTCACAGATTCAACAACTTAGGAGAAATGGACCAAGTCCTCAACAATCACAAACTGCTACAATGCAACAAAGATGAAGTAGATAATCTGAATGGTCTTATAGTCATGAAAGAGATTGAAGTCATATTTTAAAAGCCCTCAAAAAAAAAAAAAAAAAAAAAAAAAATCTCCAGCCCTAGATGGTCTCATTTGAGAATTTTACCAAACATTTTTAAAAGAATAAAGAACTTAGAAATATACCCACAAATATGTCCAACTTATTTTTGATAACATGTAGAAGTTACTCAACGGGGAAAATAAGCCTTTGCAACAAATTGTGCTGGAGCAATTAAACATATACAGGTAAAAGAATGATTCTCAACCCAAACTTCACACCTTATACAAAAATTAATTCAAAATCGATCATGGACTTAAATGTAAAATGTAAAACTATAAATACATAAGAAAAAAAAAAAGAAGAAAATCTTTGGGATTTAGGGTGAGGCAAAGAATTCTAAGACCTGATACCAAAAGCATGATCCATAAAAGGAAAAATTGATAAATTAAACCTCATGAACATTTCAAACTTTTACTCAGCAAAATACCTTTTTAAGAGGTTAAAGGCAAGTACAATGTGGTAGAAATAATTGCAAACCACATAACTGACAAAGGACTAGTATCTAGAATATATTTTTAAAAGACCTCTCAAACTTCAACAGATAAAACAATCAAATTAGAAAATGGGCAAAGGAACAGATATTTTAACAAAGAAGATATATTGATAAAAAATAAGCATATGAAAGGACATTCCACTTCACTAGCCATTAGTGAAATGCAAATTAAACTACAGTGAAATATCACTACATACTTATCATAATGGCTAGAATAAAAAATAACGACACAAATTTGGGTGAGAATGTGAAGAACTGAATCATTCATACACTGCTGGTGAGAATGTAAAATAGTAGAGCCACTCTGGAAAAGGATTCAGCTTGCAATTACTCATCAATCCAACAATTGCACTCAGGTACTTTTCCCAGAGAAATAGAAATTTATGATCACACAATTGTTCATAGCAGCTTTGTTTGTAATAGACCCAAACTGGAAACAACCAAGATGTTCTTCAACAAGTAAAGAAATAAGCAAACTGATATATCCATAGCATGGAATACTACTGAGCAATAAAAAGGAACATATTGTCAATAGATGCAACACCTTGGATGACTATATAATTCCATTTAGGCTCTGTTTATTGAACATTTGTGAAATGACACAGTTATAGAAATACAGAGGGTCTTCAAAGATTTCATGGAAAGATTTGCATTATCCTTCAACTCCATTTTTTCACAAACTTTTTGAAGTACCCCTGTAGAGAAGATATTAGTGGTTTCTAGGGGTTAAAAATGGAGGTGAGGTGGGAAGGAGGGGGAAAGTGGGTGTGGTTAAAAAAGGGAAACATGAAGGATCCTTGTGATAATGTAATTGTTCTGTATCTTTATGTGGTGGTGGACACATGAGCCCACACGTGATAAAACTGCATAAATACACACACAAATTTGCACAAGTAAAACTGAGAAATCTAAACAAGACCAGTGGGTTGTGTTAATGTCAATATCTTGGTGGTAATATCGTACTATAGTTTTGTGGGATGTTATCATTGGGGGAAACTAGGTAAAGAGATAGAGTTTGGATGTATTGTCCCCCAAAAGCTCATGTCAAAATCTGATCCCCAACTTGGCAATGTTGGGAGCAGTTTGGGTCATGAGGGCAGATGCCTCATGAATAGATTAACACCTGGGGAAGAGGGTTAGTGAGTGAGTTCTCACTCTATTCCTGCAAGAGCTGGTTGTTTAAAGGACCCAGGCACCTACCCTCTCTCTCTCTCTTGCTTCCTCTCACCATGTGATCTGCTTGT